GTTGGGCTCTCAATCTGCTCGGCCGTTACCTCGGCCCAACTCCTGATCATAAATCACCCTCTCATCATACTATGATAATTATATTATATGTTATTATATAATACATTATTTTCCATTTTCAAATATATTCTATATTGTATTTTGCCAATTCCAATACTATTTTTTTTTGTTTTTATATCACAAATAACAAATATCACTGTGTGTTCATATTAGTACAATTCAATTTCAATTTCTTATTTATCTTTTATAATATATATAACTAAAATTATTTACAATTTTAATAGTTTACTCATAACAAAAACATATTTTGACAAGTTGGCATTTGCGTTTTTGGCATTTGCATTTTTTGATATTTTGTCCAAAAAACATGGCTCTTTATTTTGTTTCCAAAATGGCATACATATATTAGGAAAATATATATATATATATATATATTAGGAAAATGAGTAATAATTTCTTTTTGGAGATTCCACAACCTATATATATATATATGTATGCATGGGCTCTTTTGTTGATATATATATTCATCTCTCTCAAGTCTCACTTCACCACATTCATCTCTCTCAAGTCTCACTTCACCACTACGTTTTCTCTAGCACCATTGATTGATGGGCATAGCAGCAAAGTTTTTTCGGGGCCTCTTCGGCCTGAAAAAGGACCACTCGCCGTCGCAATCGGCGGCGAAGCCTCCGAAGAGAAGATGGAGCTTCGTCAAATCTTGTAGAGAAAGGGACCGCACACCTACAAAAAACACCATCACCGACGACGTCGTTGATCCGAGCAAGCACGCCATCACGGCGGCGGAGAAGATAACGAGCAGCGGGAGGTCCAATGCCACTACCGCTACATCCGCGGCTTACGTTAGCGAATCAACAGTGATTACGATATAGGCGCACTTCCATGGCCACCTGGTTTGTTTTGTATTTTCTGCTATTCTGTTACACTAGAGAGCATGAATCCAACACAGTTATTTTAAAAAAAATCAAATAATTAGTAAAGTTTATAAATATTAATAATTAAATTAATAAAATTGTCTAATGATCTATAAATATTTTATAAAAAGTTATGTAAATTTTCCAAAAATTTAAGAACTCACTCAAATTTTCAATTAAAAAAAAAATTAACCATTGCCACATGTAAGCTTTTTAGATTAAAAATAAAAAATAATTATAAAACTCTGCCCAATAATTTGATCATCGTCAAGTGGGTGATTGTGATTATTTCTTTAGTAAATTATTTTCATATTTAGTAAATATTTTTTTTCATTTTAAAAAAATTGATACTTGTAAATTATATTTGACTAAGATGAGTTAGAAAAGTACAAAAGATATTGAAAAAAATCACTAAAAAAAATAAGAAGTAAAACATAGGGCTATTTTGGGAAGTTGGCTTTTAGCCACTTTTTTTGGTTTGTAGCAAAAGTCAAAAGTTGGCTTTTTTGTCTTTTTTTTTTTTCATTTGGAAAGTTGGTTTTTAGCTAATGGTGAAATTACAATTTTACCCTCATGGGTCAAAATGTGTTACATAGGTGAACTTGTAAATATTTTTAAAAAATGGGGGTAGTTGGCCATTTTATTATAATTTGACATCATAAACAAATATTAATAAAAAAAAGTCAAAAGTCACTTTTTACCAACTTTCCAAATCATTTGTCTAAAAAAGCCAAAAGTTTCGTTAAAAGCCAAAAAATCACTTTTTACCATCTTCCCAAAATAAGCCATAATTGATTTTTAAAAATATTTTAGCCTTTTAAAATTTTTTGTAATTGTGAAATTAATTTACATTAAATGGACCGAAAAAAGTATAAAAATTGTTAGACACAAGTTAAAGACAATTTTTTTTTTTTTTTTAAAAAGACTTTTTAAAAATGTCGAACGAGGCTTAAGAATATGTAAATGTTGCGGGCCAACCCAAGCTAAGTGTGCCGAATACGAATTGAGTTATTTTGGGCCTATTTTGGTATGGACTTTTGGGCTAATTATTTGTCCGTATAAATGTGGGCTTGGACTATGTACATTAGGGTTAACCTTGATAAAGCATCGTAATCCTAATAAATATTTATATTCAGACAAAAAATAATTATATTATATTATATGTTATTATATAATATATTCAGACAAAAAAAAATTATATTATATATTATTATATATTATATCATACTATGATAATTATATTATATGTTATTATATAATATATTTCTCACTTCACCACATTCATCTCTCTCAAGTCTCACTTCACCACATTCATCTCTCTCAAGTCTCACTTCACCACATTCATCTCTCTCAAGTCTCACTTCACCACATTCATCTCTCTCAAGTCTCACTTCACCACATTCATCTCTCTCAAGTCTCACTTCACCACGTTCATCTCTCTCAAGTCTCACTTCACCACGTTCATCTCTCTCAAGTCTCACTTCACCACGTTCATCTCTCTCAAGTCTCACTTCACCACGTTCATCTCTCTCAAGTCTCACTTCACCACGTTCATCTCTCTCAAGTCTCACTTCACCACGTTCATCTCTCTCAAGTCTCACTTCACCACGTTCATCTCTCTCAAGTCTCACTTCACCACGTTTATCTCTCTCAAGTCTCACTTCACCACTACGTTTTCTCTGGCACCATTGATTGATGGGCAAAGCAGCAAAGTTTTTTCGAGGCCTCTTCGGCCTAAAAAAGGGCCACTCGCCGTCGCAATCGGCGGCGAAGCCTCCGAAGAGAAGATGGAGCTTCGTCAAATCTTGTAGAGAAAGGGACCGCACACCTACAAAAAACACCATCACCGACGACGCCGTTGATCCGAGCAAGCACGCCATCGCGGCGGCGGAGAAGATAACGAGCAGCGGGAGGTCCAATGCCACTATCGCTACATCCGCGGCTTACGTTAGCGAATCGGCAGTGATTGCGATACAGGCGCACTTCCGTGGCCACCTGGTTTGTTTTGTATTTTTTGCTATTCTGTTACGCTAGAGAGTATGAATCCGACACAATTATTTTAAAAAAAATCAAATAATTAGTAAAGTTTATAAATATTAATAATTAAATTAATAACAAAAACATATTTTGACAAGTTGTTTATCAAATTTATGTTATTTAAAAATGTATTTCATTAAAAATATAAAATTCCGATCTTATGTATCAAACTTAAATTGTTAGGTGAAGTTTTATAAAAGCTTAAATTTAAATTTAAAAGTTATATTTTGAAACACAATATTAATAATTTTCACTTTTAATCTTACTAAACTACAAGATGTCATAAATCAAAAATAAATATTATTTCAAAAAATCACAAAGGAAAAATTTAAGATTTATCTGTAAATATTTATTAACATTTTAAAAAATATTTGTACATTATAGACCTTCCTCGACTACATAAGAACTTGAAATTATATATTTTTAACATAAAAGGGTAATATCACTTATGTGTATAGTTTAAAAAATAGTACAAAATACATTATTTTTTTAGATGGTATAGACGTCCAAATGACATATTTTTTTAAAATTAAATAAGTTAAAATATATAAATTCATAAACTAGAGAATAAAAATAAAGTAATATTTAGAATTCATTTGAAAATTGTCTATTTTTATTAACTTAAAAAAAATATAAAAAAATAAAAAGAGTGATATGATAACTTGATTTTATTTTTTATGCCATGTTTGACAAATGATTTTTTTAGTTAAAAAGTTAAAAAATCATTAAAAAAATAAAAAAACCAATAATCTATACCAAAAAGGTAAAGATTCAATTTTTTTCTATATTTTTTACACATATTTTCTTAAAAAAAAAAACATTCCAAATATATTTTTTTACATTATATTTTAACAAAAAAATATTTAAAAATTATTTAAAAAAATATGTTCCCAAAGAGGCCTTTCCCTATCCAAAAAGCCGCTCTCTAAACAACCATAATCAACCCTAAATTTTATTAAAATTTTAAAAATAAATAAAAAGCGATTTTTGATTTTTTTTGGGTGTGTGTGTGGGTTATTACAAAGAGAGATAATTGCGGTTTTGATGAGCTGAAAGTCACATGGACCAGAAGCTTACAGAAGACGACCCCCACCACCTCTCTCTCTCTCTCTCCTCAAATTCTCTGTGCGCAGCATTCACAGCCAAAAAGTAGTTGAAAAAGAGAAAGCAGTAACTACTAACCTAAACCCCCAAAACACATGTTTGGATACACCTAATTTTTTTTACTAAATTTTTTTTATTGAATTTTTAAATATTTTTTTAATTTTTAAATATATTTAATATAAATATACCTAAAAAATAAATTTTTTTTACGAAATTTTTTTTATTAAATTTTTAAATATTTTTTTAATTTTTAAATATATTTAATATAAATATACCTAAAAAATATAATATTTATAAAAAAATATTTAAAAAATTCACTAGATACAAAAAATATAAAAAAATAATACAAGAATTCAATATATTTTTCGTATTATTGTGTATTTATTATTTTTTAGATATATCTAAGTAAAATATATTAAAAAAAATTAAAAATATTTATTAAAAATAAAAAATATGAAAAACAAAAAATTTAGGTAGCGTTTGGTAGAGTTTTAGAATTTTGATTTTAGAATAGAGTTGTATTTTGAATTTGTAAGTTTTAGAATAATAATTTAAAAAATTTGTTTAGTTATGAATTTTGAATTAATATGATACTTGATTCAAGAACTTAAAACTCATAATTAAATACACAACATAAAATTCTATTTAAATTTCATAAGTAATTTTTTAAGTAATTTTTTAAAAAAATTCTGAATTTTTTTTTATTTAAAATATAAAAATAACGTGTGTCAAAAAAGAAAAAAAATATTGTTCCAATCAATCTGTCAAACGTTTGAAGAAATGACCGAATAAATGAGTTTTCAAATGCAGGCGTAGAAATAATTTTTGAAAATTAAAATCAAACGTAACATTTAATTCAGCGGATGAAAAATTGATTACAAAACCCACCAAAAACAACGTTAATTTTTTAAAATTAAAACCAAAAACCCCCCATCATCCTACATACATTGCCACTATCTCTCTACCTAATCTGACCCCAAAAGCAATATACAGACAGAGTGAGAAACTTAAAAAAGAATGTAGAGAGAGAAAGTAAGAGAGAGAGAGAGAGTGGTAGCTCTGGTTGGTGCTTCTTCTCCATCTATCCATTCCGCAAAACCCTAGCCTTCCCAAATCAAACTCCACCCAGATCTCACTCACCTCGCTTTCCGATCTGTTTAGTCTATGTCTGATTCGGAGGACTCTTTTGTCTGAAATGTTTTCTGGGTTTCGCTTTGATTTTGATTTCACTTGGGTTGTTTCCAATTTCAATGTCGTAGTTTCTACAACCACATCGCTTGTGTTCTTGTCTCAAAATGTCGGCTTCTTTGCCTGAGCGCCCCCGAATCGGAGTTTCAAACACGGTCTGTGCTTCTCTCTTTCTGTTTCTTTGTGGGTAAGCTCTGTTTGGTTGCTGTGAAAATGGCGGAGAAATTGAGGAAAGTTTTGATCTTTTTGCTGAACTGAGGGAAGTAGTAGTGTCAGATTAGACTAGTTGAGTGGAAATCCGAGAATTTAAAACTGAACTTTCCCTCTTTGCCTGCATTTTTTTTTTTTTTTTTTTCCAGAAACCAATTGGGAAGTAGTACTGTGAGTGTTGTTTTTCACGATTGATTGAAAGAAAGATCCTCAGTAGTAGTAGTCAATGCATTTTCCTTTTTGCACTACACTGGACTTTGCTGTTAGTGTATTTTTTTCATTAGATGATTTGGGTCTCTATGATTTTTGTGTTTATATTGTTTTGGAGATTTTCACACTAAATTTGGATGATGCTGGTTGGAATTTGTTTTTGTGGTCTCATATTTAATTATTTATCAACTATTTGGAGATACAATTGAAATTGAAACTGAGAGTTGGTTTCCCCTCAGCATAGCTGTAACTTATAAGTCTGTTTGGTTTCCGTGCAAATTGAAAGACAAAAAAGAAAAAAATGAAGAAAATTTTGGATCTTTTTGCTCAACTGGGTGACGGACTAGTGTTAGGTCAATTGAGTAGAACTGAAGAATTCAAAATTCGGCTTTCCCTTTCCCTGCATTTTGTCAGTAAACATTGGGAAGCACTGTCAGTATTGTTTTCATGATCGAAAGAAAAATCATCATTAGCCGCTACAATATGCTTTGCTGTTAATATGCTTTTGTTTATGGAATGTGACATTTGGTAATTTTTCACTTGACGTTTAGGGTCTAAGATTTTGCATTCTTTTTGTTTTTGTGTTTATTGATGGGTTTTGAAGCTGGTTCAATGCTGCTTGTGTTTTTCCAAATTATTGAGAAATATCAATCTAATAGTTTTCTAAAACTCCAAATTATTTCATGACTTGAAATTCATGAAGTACAGTAACAGACCTCAAAAATGAAAAAATTAGGCTAAATTCTGTAATTTTGAGCTCAAATATTCAAAAGCAGATTTTTTTGCGCAATTCATACAGCTTTTAGTGGGTTGAAATGTGGGCATTTATGTTCTTAGGTAGGTCCAAACTAAAATAGATCAAAGAGGAAAAGCAGATAAGCAGGTTTTCTTTGTGAATCCAACTAAAAGCAGTCCGCTTGTAGTTCTCTTCCACCACCCTTGAGCTATAAGCTATATATTGAAGTTTTTTACACCAACGCTTGTGTTTTTTGAATTACTGAGAAGTATGATAGTACTCTATCTGCAAGTATTTGTACTAATATGTTTGTTTCATCCTTTATGCTTACTAATTATGCATTATTCATGGTTTTGACCTTCTGCGATAATTGACAGGTTTTCAAGAGTGGACCACTTTTTATATCTTCAAAAGGTCAGTGGACCTCTCTCTCTCTCTCTTAATTTTTATAGTAATATTTTACCTGTTGCCAAGGTCCTTCACCTTTTTTTTTTGTACATGCTAAGCTAGCTAATTAGGGATGACCATTGGCTCAATGGTAAAACTTTGACCTAATAACCTTGAGGCTAATTATGTATGCTAGGTCACTTCTCATTTTTCTTTCAGTGTAGGCTTTTTTTTACAATAGTTTGGGGCTTTGTGGTAATTTGCTGCTAAAGTTAATGGGGGTATTAAGTAGATGAAAAATCTATAATAGAGTTGAAGAGAAAACTATTGTCAGAAGCTATGTTACATGGACTCGAGTGTGGGTGTGTCAAAATGCCAAACCTTCCTAAACCTAAATATTAGTATGTATTCAAAAGTTGGGTACAAATAAGTATACACATCTTGAACATATAAATATATTGTATATTGTATGATTTTCTCACATAAGATGTAAATTATTAGTAATGTACTTCAAATTAAATGGGATTTAGGGAAAAAGAGAATTTAATATACTTTTCTTTTCTATTTAGGCCTCGTTTGGGAACAGGCTAATTTAGTAACTTTTTTGCTATTTGGCTAAAAAGGTAAGTAAAAAAAACTTGTATGTTTGGGATGACTTTTTGGCTAATTACGAAAAGATGTGCAAAAAGTAGAGAGAAAAGAGAATCTTTGACTTTTTGGTATGAATTGTTGGCTTTTTGGCTAATTTAGTAACTTTTTGGCTAATTGGCTAAAATAGCCTCTTGCCAAACGAGGCCTTAATATACAAAAAATGTATTTATACAAAATTCCTCAACTTGCTACTTCCATGCATGTACGAATTTTTGTTATTGTCTTTTGTATTCTTTTTGACAGTAGGAGGACATGTCTGCAATAAGTTTTTTAAATTTTTTTTTTCAGTAGTAATAATAGAGAAAATAAAAGGTACAAAAAAAATTACAACTGGAAAAGAAGAAGTCCACCAAAACAAATGAAAATACAAAAAATTACATATTACATATGGCATTCCTATGTTGAGAAATCAAAATAAAGAAATCCATTTGAAAGATGGCAACACCTAAGCCCAAAAAGAAAAAGAAGCTAAGTAACTAACTTTGTCCCATAAACCCTGCCTGCTATGTCTTCAAATCTCTCCTCAGAGACTCTAGCATTTGTTTAGCATTCCTTTCCAACATATTAGTTTACGTCAAATATTATCCAATAAAATTAATTGCATGTGAAATTAATTCCAACCGATAAAATTATCTCAAATACAATTAATTGTAATATTTGAATAATTTTATATGTTCATTTGGCCTTAACTGGTGTTTGATCTTTGTCCCACTCATCAATTTTCTCTACTAAGAAAATGACGCCACTCTGTTTAATTTTCATATTTAAAATGAATTACCTTGTTATGCTTCTGCAGGATTAGGTTGGAAGTCTTGGAAAAAGCGTTGGTTTATCCTTACACGCACTTCATTGGTTTTTTTCAAAAATGATCCTGTAAGTACATCTCCATTGTTTCTCTTTCATTTTGAGCTATATTGATGTAGTATCTCTTCTTTTATTGTTCTTAGTATACTGTCAAACTTCATTTCTTAGTATTCCTATCATGAAAACATCCTCTGCTGTAATATTGTTTTCTCAAAATACAATACCAGTGACAGGTGGGATGGGTAAAAATGTTATTTTACTAGTTTTGCATTTGGTTTGCGATCATACTTCTGTATTTGGTTCTCAATCTCAAGTGATGTGTTGGGATAGTTGAAATTTTCATTTCTCGATCTTTGATTCCCCTAAGACACTCATAGCTGACACAATACATAGATATGATTTCAGATGTAGTGTTTTATGGGATACATGTTGATTGTTTTTCACGCAGAGTGCACTTCCTCAGAGAGGTGGTGAAGTAAATATAACTTTGGGGGGTATTGACTTGAACAATTCAGGGAGGTATGCATGGTTTCTGCTACTCTTTGAAAAGTTCTAGCACACATGGCTTATTTCGTTTCAAGGCCAACACTAGTTGTTTTTTTTGTTATTGCAGTGTTGTTGTTAGAGAAGATAAAAAGCTTTTAACGGTACTGTTTCCTGATGGACGGGATGGACGGGCATTTACCCTTAAGGTGCTTCGTTGACTTAGTGGTTTCTCTCTCTCTCTCTCTTACACACACACACACGCGCGCACGCACACATTTTTTTTAAGTTTCTGTATGCCCTCTTTGAATGCAAGGGACAATTTGCTGTCTTTGTTTTCGAACTTATTGTACTTGAGATTCTGAAACTTTAGGGCCTACATTTTTACTTTTCTCAATTCAGGCGGAGACATCAGAGGACTTGTACGAGTGGAAGACTGCCCTAGAGCATGCTCTTGCACATGCACCAAGTGCTGCCCTTGTGATAGGACACAATGGAATTTTCCGTAATGATGCTAATGATACGATTGAAGCGTCTTTCCATCAATGTTTGTACTCCATATCGCATGCCAATTTCTTTTTGTCATTTTCTTCTATTAATCGTGTTAGATGATTTGTTTTGTGTTTGAGTATATCTGTACTGAAAAATGAACTTTGTTTTGTACTAATTTTTTTTAGATCTTGAATATTTAGGGATGGATAAACGTCCTGTTAAATCTATGGTGGTTGGACGACCAATTTTGCTAGCACTGGAAGATATAGATGGAGGCCCATCTTTCCTCGAGAAGGCTCTTCGATTTCTGGAGAAGTTTGGTAAGTTTTATTTCAATTGTGATTTAGATTCATTGGTCTTGAACATCATTTTCACCTGCAAGTTTTTGTAGATATCCTGAAGCATTGCCCCGTGTCCTACTCTTTGACATTCTTTTTGTTGTTTATTTTGCTTTGATTTTTGCATTGTATTTACTTCTGGCAATATCATATATATGATGTTTTATATGATTGCCAGATGGTGAATAGTTGGGTGTACCACCATTTGATTAGTTTTTCATTTTTTGGTCTTGTAAATGTTTGAATCGTGAAGCCTATAATGAGTTTCCTATTTGGTCTTCCACCAATTTTCTGTTAGTGAAGTTAGTATGTGCTTAAATAAAAAACAATGCCCAAATAATACACATTAATGTGTGTTTGGGAGGGAAAAGATTGAGTACCCACCTAACCTTTGGCATTATGCATAAAGTGGTGGCCTCAAGACTTGAACTCATAACCTCAAGGATATTAAGCCAAGTTTTAACCATTGAACCAATGGTTATTAGTGTGTGCTGTGAATAAATTATTTTATTCTTTTGATAAGTAAAAATGTATGTATTATAATTAAAAAGCAGCACCGACGGGGTGTGCTGCTCATGTACAAAACGCAAGAACAAAAACCTAAGATGCTTTACGAAGTACAAAATTTGATCTAGATGAACCCCATGTGAAAACCAACTATACAAGGTGGTCAAAATTCTACATATCAAAACAAAAAAGAGGGGTCTCCATAAATTCTCATATGGGCTCTCTTCAAATAGTCCACATGAACGCTAATGGGCCCATACCCCAACACCTCTTTCTACTCCATCCAACTCTGGCTCCCCTCCACGTATATAGCAACTCCAAGACAGAAGAAGGGATGACCCAAGGTATATTAGACAGAACAAGGAACACTTACATGAAAGGAAAAAAAGGGAATCCAACTAATAATATGAGAGATGAAAAGTTAGATTCTAGACTCAAAATTTGCCTTCTAGACTCAAAGTTTACCTTTGTGTTTTCTTACTTTAATATGATTTCGTCTTATTGTTTCTTGTCTTTGCAACAGGAACTAAAGTAGAAGGCATTTTGAGACAGGCTGCAGATGTCGAGGAGGTAGATCGCAGAGTTGAAGAATATGAACAAGGTTTCTTTTTCTTTCCATGAACTAAAAACATTATTTGTTGTTGAATTTCATTTCATCAAGTCCCACCCATCCTCTCTTCTCCCTTCTTTCTTTCTAGATTAGGCCTTTTTTTTCCTTAAAACAAATGAGGCTGCTCTTTTACTTGGCTATAAATGGTACAAGTCTGAGCTTGGCTTTGTTTCCTGCTGTAGTTGCAGTTGACTCTTTTGCTTGTCTGTTGTCATGCCCGCTCATTTTGGGTGATGATTGATGAATGTGCTTGACAACAGATTAAGAAGACATTATTAGCTTTTGTTATGGTTATCGGGTGTTGTTTTGGTTTGTTTGGACATTTTGTTTTCTTTGTGTTCATGAACAAATACTGAAATGTACATGGCTTACAAATTGAGTTGATCTCTCATTTGTTTATAGGCAAGAATGAATTCGGTCCCGATGAGGATGCTCATGTTGTTGGTGACTGTGTTAAGGTACTTGTTGGTACTAGTGTAACTTTTGGCTATCAAATTATTTCATCTCTTTGATACTGTGTAGATCTGTATTCACTTGAGCTATTTTTTCTGTAGCATGTTCTTCGGGAGCTACCCTCATCTCCAGTTCCTGCATCTTGCTGCACTGCTTTATTGGAGGCATATAGTAAGTTATCTATTAATACATCCATAAAGGCCTATATTGCTGAGCCATACCATGGAATCATGGATATAGTAGGGCAATGGAAAGCTTATTTTCTTCTAATGAGCTTTCCTCATCTGGTGGCTAAGTTCAATTATTTCTTGCTTTTCACGTCATTTGCTTTTCGCGTCATTTTTGGTTTTCTTGTTTTTTGTCCCTCCTTTTGGTTCTTTATTTTATGCAGACTTGGGTAGAACTCAAACTGAAAAGTTAGTTGTTGAGGTGAGGGTACCCTCACACTTATGTACTGCACATTACTTTTGTACCCAGGCAATGTAGGACTTCACTTCACACCCGTCTCTCACACGCAGTGCGACATGTCCTACCCATCCTTGGGTACTTCTGGCTTTGATACCGTATAACACAGTCTTGGGTAGAACTGAACACCAAATGCTATTTATTAAGGTGGTGGGGATGCCCTCATGCTTATATATTGTACCTTACTTTCATACTCAGGTGATGTGGGACTTTGCTTCACACTTTAGAGACTTGAAATAATGAAGTATTGTACATATCTAAACTGAAGTGGTGTACATTGTATGTCTCTAAGCTTGTATGCAGCATTTATTTTGGGGGTTTTCCTTTTTCATTGGGTTTTAGAACTAACATACTTAATTCTATTAAATACTTTGAACTTGTGTTTCAGTCCTGGAATTCCGTCTTTTTTACTTCTTTAACAAAACTCTGATTTTTGTTTGTCAGCCTCATGTATTTAGTGTGTTAGATGTTACATACACTTCAATATTGATGTTTTGCTTTACTTTTGTCTGGAAAGAAATTGATCGGAAGGAAGCTCGTGTGAATGCCATGCGGTCTGCAATACTGGAGACATTCCCTGAGCCAAACAGGCGTTTATTACAGAGGTAATCTCTCTCTCTGTCTCTCCCTCCCAATGATGGGTTCTACTTTCTTTTTCTGGTTCATTTACACCAATAATTTCTGTTAGCATGTTTTTCTTCCCTTCCTTTCCCAGTTAATGACCTTTACATATCAAGAATTATTTTTCAATTCCCTTTGTATGACTTCCATTTTTTTACTGTATTAAATACATATTGCATTGTGTTTAAATAATTGCTGTACTATGATATGAGTTACTTGGGAATCAAATCTTTCAGTTTTCAGTAATACTGAAATCCACTAAAATGTTCCTCCCAACCTTTGGAATATATGGAAAAACACTTTGTACTTGCTACCACATTGTGCAAGAAAAGAGAGAATTGGTAGAATGCTCCTTGATAGGCTTGAGAGCGTTGCCCTCTTTATGTACTTGATCCTTTTGTGCGCGCTTTATCCAGGAGAGGTAACTTTTTAAAAAGTTTTTCTGCCACTCGAAGAATTTGAATAGAATGGCTGAAACTAGGAAAAGGAATGTGTACTATCTTTAAGATTGCTGGTCTGAACAAATTCTAAAAGGAAACAACTCTGTTTCATTTCCATTGTGAAATCATACTGTAAAGTACACATGCTATACGATAGGAAAGAATCCGAGATAGCAAAGAAAGAATAACAGAAACGAACAGCCCAATCAGAAACGAACTTCCTCTTTGACCTTGGTAGCTTATACTGTAAAGTACACTTCCTCTGTTTCATTTCCATTGTGAAATCACTCTGCTGATTCCTTGTGAGACTGAGGTTCTGAAAAAGAATGAATAACAGACAAAAAAGTACGATAGGAAGCAGAAAAACATGTATTAGACCAACTTAACGTGCTTGGAGGATGACGCGCTCAAGTAGGATATCGGTGTGCAGCAGGATCAGAGTCGTTAGAAGTAAGAGGATCAGGAGTAAGAGTAGATAAAGCTGACATTTTGGCAAGTTTACACCCTTGACATTCATCAATTTGACTAGAAGAAACTTTACCTAATAATCCTGACTGAGTTAAAGACTGTAAGCGGTCAACAAACAAATGACCTAGGCGAGGATGCCATAAGTAAAACTGACTCAACTGAGAATCTAATTGAAATGAGGAAAAAGTAACTGGAGAGGTGGATAGAGGGAGATGCAAGCTTTCTACCACATAGAGATCTTCAACTCTACGGCCGGTCCCAATCTATTTCTTGGACACCCGATCTTTCACACAACAGATAGAAGAAAAAAAGATAACATCAAAATCAGACGTATCAAGTTGACTGATAGATAATAAATTGACAGATAGCTGAGGAACATAAAGAATAGAGGGAATAGTAACAATAGACATGGCAGAGGGTAAAATAGACCCAACAATTAGAATAGACATACCAGACCCATTAGCAGTATTAACAATAATAAGAGAGGGAGGAGGGATATAGTTTTGAAGTAAGGAAAGGTGATGAGTCATATGATGAGAGACACTAGAGTAAAAAAGCCAGACAGAAGAGGAAATACTTGAAAAAGATCCAAACAAACCTGAATGAAGGGAGGTGAGAGCAGAGACAAATGAGGATAGCTGGGAGGTGGACAGGAGATGCTGAAGCTGAGCTATCTGGGCACGCAAGGAAGCCAAGTCAGGATCAAAAGCCGAAGCAGATGCAGTATAAGCAACAGGAGGTCGAAACTGTGTCTGAGGCGGCTAAGAAGATTGAGTAGATGACGTTCCTTCTTGGGACGGTTGTACTTCCAATTGCCCTTCTAATGACAAAAAGCACACTCATCAGAGGCTAGTGGCCCCTTCTTGGGCTTCGCATTGGCTTGAAACTGATGAAGTGGTGGGGTCGACAGCAGAGGAGGCTGAGTAGGAGCCAAGAAGACAGATGGAGACAAGTCTGACTGGCCGTCTTAAGATGGGTTTCCTCGGAGAGGAGCTCACGAACAAGCATCCACAGAGGGGAGAGGAGACTAATGAAGGTGCCACTACAGATAGCCGCATACTGAGGGGAGAGAACTGTTAAGAACTGCACCTAATGACCTTGCTCCTGAAACTCAACATAAGCGTCTAGTGCCTTGAGGCTAGCTGGTTCCATGAGAGCCAACTAATCCCAGAGACCTGTTATCCCAATGTAGAAGTCCTGAATAGATTGATCCCGCTGACAAGCACTCTGAATAGTTGTTTCCAACTCATATCGCTTGGCAAAGTTGGACTGTTGATACACACCCAATAAATAGTCACACGCCTCCTTGGCAGTACGGTATTTGGAAAACATTATTCCAATACGGTCATCCACAAAATTATGAAACCGGGTTAGAATTTGGGCATTATCACAATCCCAAGTGTCACAGGAAATCAGATATCTTTCTTGTTTCGGGTCCAATGGACGAGGAATGGAATCAGAAACATAGCCCTATTTTTTCTAACCAAGAATGAAATTTTTCATAACACTAGCCCAATAAGTATAATTGGCACGAGTGAGTTTACATCTGATGGCTTGGATTTTGGTGTTCGTCAATGTAATAAACCAAAGATTAACAGGTGGAAGGATAATACTAAATAACAAGAGGGCCAAACTGTAAATAAATATATATATATATATATATATTTTAAACCAAATAACAATACTGATAAAGGCAAAAGCACGAACAGAGAGAGAGAGGAGAGAGAGAGAGAGAGAGAGGGAGACAAACAGAGCAGCAGACGAAGAACCAGAGGGACCGTGATGATGTATCGACCCAAGAGAGAGATCGAGACCCACGAACCAGAAACAAAGACCAAATCGTTGGTCGAACAGACTTGACGAATCATAATGTGTGTGTTCGAGTATTTGAACCACAGAGAGAGAGTCGAACGACCCCTGAGTTGCGACTTCAGACCAGGCACCTTCGAACAACAGGCGACGACTTTGAACAACAGGCGTGAGCGCCAGACCTAGGGTTTCGGACGTGGCTCTGATACCATGTAAGAATTCTGAATGTTTTTTTGTATATTTAACTTGTATGTAATACATAGATTACAACCAATATTTATAACAATCCTAAACCTAATCTATAGTAGGAAATAATCCTATACAATCAATCTACAATCAATTGAATATGCACAATTAACCTAATTGATATATTTCCACAATTACATAATATTCTCGCACATACAACTGCAGCGGACTATTTTAACCAATTTTGCACTTTTAAGAATTTTCATTTCATCTGAAAAGGTCATAAAGCAATATGAAAACGATCAATTTTGAAAATGCTGTCAGGCCCCAGTTAAATATTTCATGTAAATTGTTGCTTCACCAAGAAGGTTATGCCTTACGTGATGTCACGTTTCTTAGGAGCACATGTTGATACAATTGACATTGATATTGCTATGGATTAACTTTTTGGAGACTACTATTGCTTATTTGTGGATGTGTTGTCATTGTTTGAATTGTTGTTGTTTTTTCTCCAAATTTATTTTTTGAAGATAAATGAGTTTTCCATCATGCTTATATCTTTTTAGCTGATTTTATGGGAATTATTTGCTTATCTCCCAATGTTTTGTTGTATTTTTTGGATGACCCATATTAAGTACATACAAACATCTAAACTTTTTCTTTAAAAAGAGTGTTTGTGCAATATTTAAAAGCCTAGTAGATATGTTCCAGTGCCATATATTTTCGTGCAAGATCCAGGAACACCTGAAAATAAGATTCCTGTGATATATAGCTGAGTTTTTTGTAACTTGGTTCTCCATCTCTTTAATTTACAAAAGGGGTGGGGGTGGTGTTGTCTCCTTAAAATTTTTATACAACATGAAGTCTCATTTGAGAGTTTCAAGTTAGCTTTTAAGAATATGGATTTTTTAGATTATTGGCTAAAAATGCTTTGAATAAGTTGTAAAAATGTTTGGTGCAACATTTTTGGATAATATGTGAAAAAATTGAAAATGTTTGGCAAATAATCCAAAAAGTACCTTTTTGAAGTGTGAGCCCCAAGATGCCCGTAATTTTGTTAAACCTAACTATTTTTTAAAGGGGTACACTCGCAATTATGAAAATATTGGGGGTCCTTTTGTTCAATGTCCAAAAGCTAAAGAAGTTGACATAGAAAAGCACCCCCTGGAAGGCAAATTTTTGAGTGAAATCCAGTTGAATATTCATCTGTTTTGCTAAATTCCTGGTCAAGTCTACTTATCACTTTGCACCATTCTTTTGCAGAATCCTGAAGATGATGCACACAATTTCTTTACATTCATCTGAGAATAGAATGACTCCTTCTGCTGTTGCTGCTTGTATGGCACCATTGCTCTTGCGCCCTCTTTTAGCTGGTGAATGTGAATTGGAGGATGATTTTGATGTCAACGGTGATAATTCTGCCCAGCTTCTTGCAGCCGCAAATGCTGCTAATAATGCTCAAGCCATCATCACAACACTTTTGGAGGAGTATGAGAACATTTTTGATGTAAGTTGCTCTTAATGTGGTTTTTTATTTTGTTTAATAAAGGTGCAGCTGTTTAAGTACCTTCTTTGTGATTTCTATTTCTATTTCATACATCATGGGTCTTGGGGCATGTGCATGTGTCCATTTTCGCACTAGTCCCATTTTATATGAGATATATGTGTCGTTTGGTGTAGCTTATAATGCTGTTTATAGTTTTATTTATTTTTTAGTTATAATTTTGGAAGTTGCCAAAGTGTTCACTGCAATTTTTGCTTATAGCCTATAAGGCAAAAGAACTTTTAATATGCGAAAAAAAGCTCATAATTTGGAAGCTAGGGAAGGGGTGATTTTAGTTTTTTAGTTGCCAAAGGGGCTGTTTGGGAAGTGAGACTTTAGCCTAATTTAGGCTAAAATTTACAAAAAGACAAAATAGGTTAAAATAGCCAATAAGACAAAATGTTACATCAAACCCATAATCATTTCACTTTTTCTCTCACAAACATCGCATCCAACTACAAAAAAAATTCAATTATCTTTGGCATGTGCATGTGTCCATTTTCTCACTAGTCCCATTTTATATGAGATATATGTGTCGTTTGGTGTAGCTTATAATGTTGTTTATAGTTTTATTTTTTTTTTAGTTATAATTTTGGAAGTTGCCAAAGTGTTCGCTGCAATTTTTGCTTATAACCTATAAGGCAAAAGAACTTTTAATATGCGAAAAAAAACTCATAATTTGGAAGCTAGGGAAGGGTGATTTTAGTTTTTTAGTTGCCAAAGGGGCTGTTTGGGAAGTGAGACTCTAGCCTAATTTAGGCTAAAATTTACAAAAAGACAAAATAGGTTAAAATAGCCAATAAGACAAAATGTTACATCAAACCCATAATCATTTCACTTTTTCTCTCACAAACATCGCATCCAACTACAAAAAAAATTCAATTATCTTTTTTTTGGTTGTCATGCTGAACATCTATTGGTGTGGTTGAAGGTGCAAAAATCAACTTTGATGTAGATAAAAGAGGAGCTAGATGGAAAAATCTTGAAATTAAGAAGCTTGTTTGTGCCTTCTTCATTTTCATTTTTATGAGGCAGTTGACGGATATCATCAAAATATTAAATATGATGTTGTTGAAAAAGTTAGTGGAGACAAATGGAAATCAATGGTAGAACATGCGAAAGTGTCTTATTTGGAAAGAGGCTTGAAAGAGAATGAGAAAGACACTTTTGTGAAGTTGGTGCAAATTGAACCATAACCTATACTTTTATAGGAAGGAACCTTAAGAAGTAAAAATTTTATGGTGCTCCTATTCAGTGAGGAACCTCAAGAGTCCAAACAGAACAAGTAATAAATAATTGGGTAGAGCTGAAGAAAAATTAAATGATGAAAAGTTAAATTCTATGTTTATTTCATTACCCAATCATTAATCAAGGATAATAGGGGGGCAGTTGGGTCCATAATTTGTATCTGCTTTTTCTTTCTTTTATTTGATTTTATAAGGATGGTGCCCTCTTGCCACATTCTCTTAATCGATCAAAAAAAAAAAGAAGAGAAAATATTTTGCTTATTGGGGAGTGAGTTTACACCATGCTACATTCAGTATAGAAGCCAGTATTTGTCTGCCTGTTTTCCTTCTCTTAATTTATGAAATTCATTTGACCCAGTGTAATCAATATCTGTTTGAAGTGGAGGTTGTTTATTCCTGTGACTTGGTTTGCATCTCATTTTCTGGCTTCTCAATTCTGTCCAGTTAGGTTTTGAAATTTTGTTTTCTTCTATATTTTTTCTTTCGTTTTTCCCTCTTTTGATTGAGATTTACAATGCCTAAGAGGAAGCCTGCTATCTGTTATCTCCTTAAGAGATAAAGGTTACTTCTTTTTACATATATATGATTAGAATATTCTCCACATCTCAATTAAGAAATCCTGCTTTTGGTTATTTCAATCTATAGTTGAATAATTTTGTGATGGCACTTTTATGCTTGTTGGTTATTGCAATCTTAATTGAATTTAATTTTGTGATGGCACTTCTATGTTTTTATAGCGATCCTTTGTCAACTAGTTTTTATTTGCTGGTGCAACTAGCTTCAAAATTTTGTATTCTATCAGGATCATATTGTTTGCAGTTTCTTCATTTTAGTTTGTTTTGCTGTGCTTAGTTATTGTGGTCTTTTCCCGTTTCAGGATGATAATCTACATAGATGCTCTATTTCAGCTGATTCTCGGATTGAAAACAGTGCCAGTGAAGTTTCATCCGATGATGAAAATCTGGATATCAAGGACAATGGTTACCACGATGCAGAAAATGAAGTAGATCCAGACACTGATGATGATCCAGATTGTATACTCAGCGGAAAGTTGAGTGAGAGCAGCGGTTATGCTGGAAGTGATCTTTACGAGTATAAGGTTCTGTGCATGTGTGTGTGTGTGTGCGGGATAAGTTAAAGCAATAGTGAGGAACCTCAAGAAGTAAAAATTTTATGGTGCTCCTGTTCAGTGAGGAACCTCAAGAGTCCAAACAGAACAAGTAATAAATAATTGGGTAGAGCTGAAGAAAAAGTAAATGATGAAAAGTTAAATTCTATGTTTATTTCATTACCAAATCATTAATCAAGGATAAAGGGGACAACATTTTGGATTCACTTGGACATAGCCCAGCCACATGTGCTTGTCACACATACACAGTGAGATAGAGAATAAATGTTACTTTAGTTTATAATATACTGAAAACTATGAAACACAAAGTCACCCAAGGAAATGTTCTCAGATTGCTTTTTTAGATTCATTTCTGTACTTCCTTATGTGCTCTGAGACTTGTGATCTGAAACCCATGAAGCTTTGAATGGATATGGATTGAGGTTTTCTGTTCTAAGGCAAGTCTTAATCCTTTAAGCAGATTGTGTTGTTAATAGATTCTCTTTTTATCTGTAAGTTAAAAACTTTCTCTTTAAATTAAGAAACCTTTTTTTGACGTCCTTTACATAGATTGAAAACATAAAAATAAAAATAAGAAAAGAAGAAAAGAAAATAAGAGAATGATGATTTCTTAAGAAATATATTTGAAGGGATGTTGGGGGGTGGGGTGGGTGGGGGTTAAGAGTATATCATAAGGTCAAGGGTTGGAGAATTAATTGAACAAAGAAGGAAAGGACTGTTTGGGTCCTTTGAGATGCTGTGAACAGTGCCTTCAGAACAGTACCTTAAGATCAGGTTTGGTTGAGAAACTAAATAAGAGGAAGACTAGGGATTTAGTGCTCACTTTAGAGATTATATGAGCTGAATGATGAGCTGAATAGTTTCACAGATCAAAGAATAGAAACAACAATTATTTAAAGTGTAATAATTTGTTTTAAACATTCGTTTATTTCTTTAAAAAATGTGATTTGTTCTTTATTATTTAGACATTTAACCAGGTCTGACATTGTTATTTCCTCATTATTATGTTTGCTTTTTTGTTCATTTAGGCTTTTGGAGGTGATGATTCAGATGTTGGATCCCCCAGGATTAATCTCACAGCAACAGCAAAATCAAATCCTCCTGTAGATTCTCAGTCACTTAGAGAGTCTGACATTCAATTAAATATGTTTCTTTTAGATTTTATTTTATTATTTTATTTTTTTTAGGATTTGGGTGAATTTTATAATTTAAAAGTATATTTGCTGAAATTTTTATTTAAGAATGGTTTTTTGGCTTTGGCCTTAGCTAAGGTCTTGTGATATTCACTGATGAAGGGGAACAAGTTGAAGCTATTGACCTTGAAGACTCTTAGTTTTGTAGGAATTTTCTTTTTTATCAAGTTGTCTTTTGCTTTAAGTTTTATTTTTATGCATACTGCATTACTAAAAATTGTTAAAATAATATTTTTTACGAACGTATCCCCGCCGTACCCGTATCCTAGTTTTTCAAATTTTGTCGTATCGCCGTATCGTATCGTATCCGTATCCGTATCCCGTATCCGTATCCGTGCTTCCTAGCTTTTAATCCACATAATCATGCAACCACAAAAGCGCTGGAATAAACATTACCCTTCCTACAGGCTTACTATATGCTGTGCATTTGTTTTGATGTCTTTTTGCTTTAAATGCTCTTTGAAACACAAGCCAATGAATGCTCCCTGACGTGTTGTATAACCTGGTCTTCAAAACATGTCTTTCTCATAACTTCCTAATTAAAACATATTCCAAAGCTAACTCAGTTTATCTTAATTCTAGACTGTGCTGATTAAGAAATAAAAATTCTCAAACTAGATTAGGATAAATTTACTAAACTTGGGCAATGCCTTTGACAAAACAGTGTTTGTTGGATTGAATTTTCAAGTTGACATTGGACTTGTTTGTTTCAGCTAGTGAAAGTACTGCTTTGAGCTAGGTTGTGAGTTAAGCCTAAAGATTTAAAATCAGTTTAATCATTTGCCAACCTACATCATATATAACAGAGACCTAAACAACATCAATTTCAAGTTTCATTCAAATTATTTTTACTGGTTAGTTTCATATAAGATACGGCATTTTAAGATGATTTGGTGTATCGTCTAGTGTAGAGAGATTTATTGTTGGGACATGGGCTTGTATTGTTTCAAAATGCGAGCAATAGCCCAATAATATAAATTCACGCACATAAAATGGGTGGGAGGCACCCTTGAAAAATCATATTTTTTTGCAAAAGACTCATGGATTCATTTCCTTTTAGCTTTGTTATATGAGCATTTGCCTATATTTCGCAGGAGTCATGCAAGTATATCCAACCTAAAAAAAACCTTTTTTTCAGCGTAAAACTACCAGAATAGGGCCCTAGTTTTTCTAGGATACTAGTGGTTTGACTAAACAATATCCGACCATTCATTGAACTTGTAGAGACAGTGATGGACACTACCTGTAAACCACCACAACCTGTTTGTGCTAGACCCATTTATGTTTGATTTGGTCAAAAGACAGTGTTCATTTTTCTCAATTTCTCAATTTAACATATTACATGCAGTATTCTTGACATTATGCACAGACCAAAAAAAGAAAAAGAAAAAGAAAAATTGTAATTAATATATGTGAAAAAAAAAGAAGCAACATAACAGATGCCCTCAACCAAATTGTTTCTTCCAACTACAATTGGGTTATATTTTAAAAATTATTTTAGGATTACAACTTTGTGAATTAATCAGATTTTCAGTTTGCAAACTGAAGTGTACAAACACATGAATCAATTTGCAGAGTATGCCACGGGCAATAGAGCTTCCCCACTAGCCGATGTGTATAGCTATGGGATTCTTCTCTTGGAGATGTTAACAGGTAAAAAACCTACCGATAATGTATTTACGGATGATCTAAGTCTTCATAGCATCGTTGAGAGTGCTTTGCCTGACCAAGTGATGGAGATTGTGGATCCTCACATTCTTTCAGAAGATGAGCCAATAAGTTGGCTCAAGGACAACCTGGTTTCTGTGTTGAGAATTGGAATTGCATGTTCTATGGAATCACCAAGAGATCGAATGCAAATTCAATTTGTAGTTAACGAATTGTGTAAGATAAAAAATGCTTACGAAAAGCTGGGTTGAGCAAGGACTAAGAAAACATGACATCCAAAGGTGAGTCTCCCAACAATGCTATTCGAGAATTGAGCTTTCTGTCTCCTGGACAAAACATATTTATTACCCCTTCCGAAAATCTATGTTAGATTTCTCATAGGTTTTTTTTTTTTTGGTTTCAATTCTGTTTGTGCAGGAAAGACTAGTAAACCAAAGCATTCTTATGACTACCCTATTTTCTCCGAGGATGCTTGGGGGACTATGTTGCTATAGTCCTCATATTGTCTTCGTCGGTTGAGCATTTAATAAATAACTGCAATTTTAGTTCTTATTTGAATATGCAAAATTTGCTCGTGTCGGATCTTTAGGTTTAAGTGTGTATGTGTTTTTCCTTCCTTATCTTCTTACTAGCGTATGCCCGTGCCTGAAGGCACGGTGTAAATAATGATGAATAGCTATCATTGGTGCAATTTCCCCTTCACTGAATTACTAAAATTCAATGGCACTACCTTTGTTTACAACAATTAATTTCTTCATTAATCCATCATGGAGACCTACAAATAATGGATCAAAAATAGTGCATGTATGAAGCACTCAGTACAATAAGGCAAACTTATTGGAAAAGAGCTGCAGATCTAATATAAATTATATAGCCTATGCTTGGGAAGTTGGGTTGGAGGACTTAGCAAAAGAAGCCAAAAATGTTGGGTTTGAGGACTTAGCAAAAGAAGCCAAAAATGTTTTTCAAGTTTCAAAATTATATAATGGTAAATACTGCAAGATAAAAGTCGAACTAGTCATGCACTTCAATACAATAATCAAACTGCATAAAATATAATCATCAAGCCTAATTCATACTGTTTCTTCCAGTCTATCAACTGGGGGTTGGATTATATATATAAAGCTTAAACAGTCAAATGGGAGGTCAGACAAAACAACCCGTGTTCACCTTTCCTTTCTTAAAAATTAGGAAGAAACTTCAATTGGTTGGAGCCCAAGTGTGCCAACAGGAGAAGTAAAAACTTACTTGATTAAGTACATGTGAAAAAAGGGCATAATCAACAAATGCAATTAAGTGCAATTAAGTGCCCTGTAAGTTTTCATAATCAACAATGGAAAAAGGGCATTGAACTTGAAAGAACAATAGACGGGTAATATAATCCTGCTGAGTTGTAGGGCATTAAACTTGAAAGAACAATTGAAGTTTGGGTTTTAACATAAATAATAAAAGCATGCCAAATATTTTCAAAAACTGTCATGCTTTATTATATAGATACTCATCCATTTCCTAATACTTCAATAATAATGTAGCTCAAAGAGTTCGCAGAATTTAATCAATGGCAGAATATGACATACTTGCACCAACCCAGAAATCCCACATTCACATGTCTCTATGTATGCCCATCCAATTCAACTAACAGTGTCAAATATAACTTTCCAGAAACAAACCCTTCTGTCAAACTAATAAATAGACAAATACCATTGTATATGAGGCAATATGCAAAAACACTTTGATGAACACTATGATATTGTTTTTTGCACATAAATTGCTTCATACTGACAACATAAATGCTTCACTAAAACAGTGAATAGAACTCACTTGAGAACATGGGATGCCATCAGCAACTCAGGCTCTCCACCCCATACATAAGGTTGTCGAATTATTTCCACATACGCTTCAATGAACCTAAAACCCATGAAGAGAATGAATAAACACTTCCATTCCGATTTAACCATGTGCAATAACACTAACTAATGTACTTCAAAAAAATAAAAATCAAGTTAAACCATACCTACTCTTTTCAATGTGTTTGATGAAGGAAGTCTTGAATTGCAGCAAGGGAAAAGGTTGATTTAAAGGATTGATTTGATGAACTCACCTATTCATCTCAAGCAGCTGGCAGTTACCAAAACTAGGTGGTATGCCCGTGCTTGAAGGCACGGTGTAAATAATGATGGAAAAGGAGGTGAGAAAGAAAAACCTAGTGGTGGTGGTGATATAGATGGTAGTCTCAAGTTACCATCTGAGTCATACTTTATTGGCCTCCCCCTCTTCTTCACCAACAAACCACCACCACCACCAACTGCACCACCACCACCTGTGGTGGTGATCTGTAGGCTTCTCTCCATGCTCATGTTCATCACTTCAATAATTAATCATTTCAATAACAAATTGTATTATTATTAAAATAAAAAATAAAAAAAATAGAAAAGCCCTGTCATTAACTAATGTACTTCAAAAAAATAAAAATAAAAAAGTGCACCAACGGAAAAAAAAAAAAGAAATAACAAAATCTAAATCAACAACCAAATTGAACTCATCTTGGTAATGAAAAAAAGAAAAGAAACAGAGAATAACAAACTCTTCGCTTGGTAATTCAACAACAAACTCTAACTAAATTAATTCCTCTATAATTTACAAATCAACACAGCCTAAAAAACCCCATTTATTTTAGAAACAGAGCACTTCAACTAAGCCCTCAACTTCATAGTAAAACATCAAAATCATGAAATTGAACTGCGGTACCAAATTTGAATAGCAAAATCATGAAAAAAATTATAATAACAAATAAACTGTAAAAAAACCCAACAATTAAAAAAAAAAACAAAAAAATAATAAATTATATGGAACAAAAAAAATTGGAGATTTACTATTTCACAACAATCAAAACCGAACAATTAAAAAAAAAAACAAAAAAACAAAAAATTAAAATTTGAGCGAAAAATATAGTAAAATATTCATTCTACAATATAAATGCTCTGAAAGTTAGAAAATACTAATAATATAGTAAAATATTCATTCTACATCAAATTGTAGTAGGCTAGTAGCTAAATGTAATATATGGTCTCTTTCATGTAACTTCAGTGCATAATCACAAAAAGCATGTTACAATACTTAGACTACATCCAATAAAGCTGTCTAATATTGTCCAGAACTATGTAAACTTTTTTTCTTCTTCTTCTTCTTCTTTTTTATTTTATTTTTTATTTTATTTTAATAACTGAGAACGAATCCTAGCAGGGCCCTTTGAAACAAATCAATTCTGTGAAGATTCTATTCAC